TGAATCACAGTTTGTTTTTTTCTTCCACAACGCAACAATTCACATTATTTTCTAACATGGATTGCCACACATTGTATCGTTTAAAGCAATTCAATTATACTATTCAAGGTTCATTGAGTCAATGTATGACTGTTTCTGGTCTTCATGGACATTCCCATGAAATTTCCTACAACTTGAATTCATTCTAGCAATCGATAAGCCCGAGATCGCTGTGATAATCACTTGTTACCAAAGTTTATGTCAAGTTCATTTTGATGGATGATAAAAGGACAATTTGTATTTCTGTTGTGCACATATCTTAGATTGTTGGGAAATGCAGGGGATAATCGCAAGCCATTGAGCTGGGATTTGAGAGTTGACATAGCTCTTGATATTGCAAGGGGATTGGAATACCTACACTATGGGGTATGCTTTCATTTTAGTTTCTAGGTCAATAGAACTGATTTGGAACTGCCTGCTTACTCAGCTCCATTCTCCTTATGGCAGGCTGTTCCTTCTGTTGTGCACCGTGACATCAAGTCTTCCAACATACTGTTGGACGGGTCAATGAGAGCCAGGGTATATGACCCTTTTTTTTCTTTCTTATTGTTAACAAATGTGGTATCAAAACACATGAAAGACCTAGTTGCAAAAGTTCAATACTAATTAGCCTTCAAAGAACTTGTTGCTAAACTGAAGGTTAATTACTCTTACCAAAAAATGTATAACTATTCTTTTTTAACAAGCAGGTTGCTGATTTCGGGCTTTCAAGACAAGACAGGAGCCAACTTCGTTCATCTAATATCAGGGGAACATATGGATATGTTGATCCCGAGTATGTGTTGACAAAGACATTTACCAAGAAATGCGATGTTTATAGTTTTGGAGTGCTGCTGTTTGAAATTATTACAGGCAGGAACCCGCAGCAGGGCCTTATGGAATATGTGGAACTTGTAAGAACCGTCTCTTGTTCATTTGGCTACTTGGCCTTCACCTTCATCAAAGTTGCATTGTCCTTCATTTCAATTAATAATAATAATAATGCTGTAACATTCACATTCGATGAGTTTTCATGCTGATGGGTAGGCAACAATCGACACTGAGGATAAACTGGGGTGGCAAGAAATTGTGGATTCTCGTCTTGATGGAAGATTCAATGTAGAACAACTCGCTAATGTTGCTGATCTTGCTTACAAATGTGTGAGCGGTCTGTCGAAAAACCGGCCTTCCATGAGGGACATTGTACAGAGCTTATCATGGATTTTGATGATGAAACATAACATGGAGAACTACAAGCAGACCTCCAATGATGCAGCTGAAGAAACCTACATTGAAATAGATCTGCTGGACAATCAGGATCCTTTAATTGAACGCTGAAGAGAGACAAGCAGACATCGAACTTAAGCTGAAGCCTTGCAATTGTATATTCAACTTTGTTCATTTTATGATTTCAATTGCTTTTACGGGAACGAGCCAAGCCTCTAGATTGAAGGATTTAAATGTAGGGCATCGTGTCATGTAGATTATTTTGCTTTCCTTAAAGTTCATCTACAAGAAAGGCTTTGGGGACCTCACTTTTAATCCACTTGGACAGGATAAACTGAGTTTCTGTATCAGCACGTCCATATTTTTCCTGTCTAGGGTGCTCTTATTTTTCCTTGCCAACCACCATTTACCAGCCCACTTTAGTGTTTTCTAAATCATGGTGAACATGTATTTTGTATTTTCTACATGGCACCATCACAATTGGACCACCATGAAATTTTGCAGTAACTTTGCGATTTGCGTTAATCACGGTACTTAGACGATCACCGTCGTGTAGAAACGACATACTACCTGTCGGAATATGAACTTGGCCTTACAGAAGAGATAAAGAAGTTGTGCGTTTCTTGTGGTTGAACAAAAAGCAAGAAAGCATCTTATCAGAAGGTAGCAACATGTCGCTGTTACTTTGTTCTGTTATATTTTATTACCAGGAAATGACAACTTATCATGCTTCAGAAACTGCACTCAAGATACACCATTGCCAAACTCAACAAATTATGATTGAATTTTATAAGAGTACATATGGCCAAGCCAGAACATAGCTAGATAAACGCCAATCACACATGTGATCCATGTAACAGGATCATAATTAAACTACCGAGACTTAGTTCTAGTTCTGCAGCAGCCCCTTAGCCTTGAAGTAGTCCACAGCTTGGTCATATATTTGTTCAATGTCGTACTTAAAGTCGAACCCCTCCTTGATAAGCTTCTCCGAAGAGAGGATCAACTTGGCCTTTGAGGGAAAATCTCCAAACCTGCAATTGCAAATGAGAGTCAGAATAACCATCTGAAATGGTGCAATAACTATTGAAGTTCACTTCAAGGTTCCCCAAAGACGAGACATGACTTGTTTTAAAGGGCATGTCCTTTGAATGTTACCTCCTAACTATTCAATATTGTTTTAAAGCAGTAACATAGATATCTAGATGTTGGAATACTTGAAGTAGGGGCTTACTCAGTGGGGACTTTGTACTCAGGGTATCTTTCGTTGAGGAACTTTGCAAGCTCAGGAACACTGGTATTGACAGCGCAGCATATATACCGACCAGAAGCAGATTCTTTCTCAGCCAAAAATATATGAGCCCGGCAGACATCCTCCACATGTGTAATGGAGATTGAACCTGATAGTAGTTGCATACCTTTCAAGGCATGATTTATGAGGAAGTCATTTCCTGTAAAACATTAAAAGGAACCATCAGAACACCACCCATCTATCTGAGGTACTGTGCAAGTAGGTTTTTTTTTTTTTTTTTTTTCATTCTAGCTACAAGGCCTCAAGTCAAAGAAATATGGACGTGTAGCATATTCTGGCCTCTGGTTTCACACCTGTAATTAAAGACATGGCTAGGCCGATACTGCTGGGGACGTCCGGAGTGAGAGAAGAACCAGCCATAAGAGAAGGGATGACGGGGATGAGATCAATGTTGTTTTCTTTGGCAAATTTCCAAGCTGTCTTCTCGGCTAGTGTCTTGGAGGCAGGATAGCCCTGAAAATTTGAGACAAAGCTTTTGTTCAATCACCTAAGTCCAATGAGTTCAGTATAGGCCTACTGTCTTATTAAAGCTTAGAGACTAAAATGATTGGGCAATTTACCCAAGTAGGTGGCTTTGCAGTACTCAAGAACTCGACATCACTCCAATCGTTCTCGTCTGTGACCAAACCTGTTCCATTAAGTGTGTTGATCGACACTGCAGCTGCTGATGATGTCAAAACAACGCGTTTAACTGTTTTGGCTTTCACACATGCTTTAAGAACGTTTTGCACCCCTTGAACTGCTGGTTTGATCATGTCGTTCTGTATTTTGGAAATGGAAAAAGTAGCATTGACCTTAAGATGCAACAGCTATATTGAATTTCAAATTTAATTAAGCAATTCCAAAAAATCTGTACCTCAGGGTCCTCAGAGGCGAAGTTGACAGGCGTGGCAACATGGAAAACAAGGTCACAACCTGCTATGGGGGCATCAAAGCTCCCTTCATCAGTTAGATCTGCTCCTAAAATTTCTAGTTCACCCAAATCTTGTAGTGCTGTGAGGTGAGAGATCTTCTTCTGATTGTCTGCACCCAAATGCACAAAATGAATGAAATTCATGCCAGCATATTAAAATCTTAATCTGGCAACTAAATCAGTCTCCTTATTGTATTCCAACAGTATGTTCATATGACTAACTAAATCATTTTGTACACTTTCAGCTTCTTTGGTTGATTACTAACACCTCTACATAATGGTGTGAACTATAACACCTTGGCATTAATCATTTTAGTCTCATCAAAGATACCCCATTTTCATGTTTCAGCTAATGTCATCACAAACGGTATAGGAAATGGAATGAAGCTGGTTCCCCGGTTATATAGAACATCATAAGCAGAAGAAATGAAACTGGGCCCACAGCATTATATATGTTTTTCCCATTTTGATATTTTTACATATGGTTTCTGGGCATAACTTGAACTTGACCCAAAAAAATAAAAGAAAAGAACAGAACAGAACTTGCAACAGATAAACTGTAGAAAAAGTTGACATTGAAAAGAAAAGGGGAAGAAGAGGAAGCCTAACCAGGGTCTCTGACAGTGGTTTTGACCGCATAGCCCTTCTCTAGCAACAGCTTCACCAGCAAAGATGCCACGAACCCTGTACCTCCGATCACACAGGCTGTCTTCTTTGAGATGGGTTGGGTGGCCATGGCTCTTTCAGTTGCTAAGTTTCAGAGTTCACTGGTGGTTAGGACTAGAAGGAATTATGAGACTGGTATTTCTGTCAACGGATGTTTACTTCTTAAATAGACTAGAAGCTGCTCATCTCCATCTAATTGAATCTGGAGGAAGAAGGTGAGCACGTGATGATCTATGCACCACCAACTCAAAACACATTTTCTTTTTCTTTCTTAGTGTTTGGTGCAGAGTCTCTGAAACAAACAACATATATTTCTTTGTTTGTCCAAGTCAAAGGAGTTTTTTCCTTACCACATAAAGCTTCACCTTTAAATAAAAAATTCAATTAACTACGTTAAAAGAAAAGAAACAACATAAGACTATTTTCATTCCGAGATTATGAGCTGTTGGGCCACTTGTTTAGATTGAGTTAGATATTCAGGTGTTAGCTGGGCATTGGGCACCCGCACGCGCGACGTCGTAGCTACGAGAAGAATTACAGATATCACTTCTTTTTTTTATATTTTTTTTTGGGTCTGAAACCGACCTCACTTGTCAATCCGTCATTATTTTATTTTGTAAATTTTTTCTCAAGATCGATACTATAATATAATGCTTTATATTTGTTGCCTATATACAACATCGTGCGTATATGAACTTCTTCCTTGCAGCTTTGGCCACTGAACTTCATGCACCATGCATTTACAAAAATAAAAGAATACAATTGTTGGTGGAAATATCATAAATACTGGATTGTAATACAAATACATCATTGAATTTCAACTTGGTGTGAGGAGACAAAAGTCATGAGTTTCAAGAGTGGAGATCAGTTGCAACAATGATTCTCAAAATCTTAAAAGGTAATGTTTTACACACTGGAACAAAGGTTATATTGAACAAAGTTACATCAACAGCACAAATTCATAAGACAACACGACCAGATCCAACAAGAGACACATACGCATATTACCATAACTTTCTCCCCCTTCTTATTACAAAAAGTTCAGAACAGAAAATACGAGGAACCCAGCACAGATGTATGGTTTTTACCTAAGCTTCGTCCCCGGAGGCACTCCAGATCCATCACTTGTGAGTGATCCACAAACAGATTCACCTGAAAATTCAGGCAAACAAGAAGGATATAATGACATGCAACACATTTTCCCAATAAAAGAAATTATGTAAAAGTTTATGAAAGAGCATTATACCCTTGGACCATACTGTTTGACAAACCACTCTGATGTTCTTGGATTTGATGCTTCAAACATGGTCTTCTCAACACCAAGACGCCCAATGATCTTCGCAATTATGTCTGCCCGCATTGAATCAGCTTGTTTACAGACATCATCAGCATCAATCATTATCATGTCAGCCCCTGCTTCTAAGCATCTCTCGGCCCTTCTAATCAGCAGATCAACATCTTCAACAAATTCTGTGCAAACAGAGACAACGGTCATGCTATAAGTCATAACCAACAACCATAGAGATGATTCTACTACCTCTCCTTTCTGATCATATGTTCAGAGAAAATGTTAACATCACAGTCAAAAAACAATATCAGAAAGATGAATGGAAGAATGAACAATCATCACTCTGAATACATGACAGCAGCAATCTTCATACAAGCCAAATAATATCATCAAACACAACTTGTGGGCAGAGGGTAATCATAGATATAGGACCAAAACAGTTCTTCCTTTTACAATTTGAAAAGTTTATGTAGTAGTGTTTGAATCCAAATAGTTTCTATATAGACTCTATAGTGCCCTATTCAGTAATATTGGTATTAAAAACTCGTTTTCTTGGTATTATGCTGCCTGGACATCAGAGTGAAAACAGATACTAACATTACTTACACCAGACAAATTTGATTATTTGGGGTTTCATCCATTTCCTCATAGATTCTACATTTCTTCACATAAGTTAAAGTCCCTTTTTTTTCTCCTTTTACCTTCGACAGAGGTACCATGCTAGTTCTTTGCAGAAAAAGAGTGACCCTTTCTATAACAGCGGGACAAAAGAAAGAGGAGTGGCAATTTTCTCATTCAGTTTCTTCCCAACAACAAAATCTAAAAGTTCTATTCACAACTCTTCAGGCAATATCTAGTTATGAAGGTAAACATATCAATCAAAATTTGTTTCAGGAAAGAGTGCACCCATACCAGATGATCGTGGCCTCGGGACAACGTAGGCTCCAAATGCTCTATCCCCTATGGGAATGTCAGACTTGTTTATCTGGACTGCAAACTGAGGTTTCACTTTCAGGCCACCGCTCTTAATTAAGCGCACAAATCTCAGAAGAGTTTCTTCAGGAATTCCAAGAGATCCCACATTCAGCTCGATTGTGTCAAACCCCAAGCTCTTACACTCCTAAAGAAATCATAACAGGAGATACTTATTTAAAGCCCCCAATAACACCACCCACAAATTTACAACACTGAAATAGTGGAATTCTTAAAAGCTTCTCACCTCCACATACTCTTTGAAAGCTGAGGGACCTTTGCGAAGCAAATTTTCAGCCCAGTCACCAGTGCTGACATATATGTCATGTTTGTGAGCAACATCAGTCACTTCCTTAATAAACGATTTGGGCATCAAGCTATGGGAACCTCCAGCAAACTTCAACCCATCAACGAACTGCCCCACGGACTCAAAAATATCCTGCCAAGAAATAACATTTCCAAATTACAACAGAGATGTTGATAACCCACATCATCTTCCACAATTACACATTGATCTTGCACCCAAAACACCCATATCATTGTCAAATCTTGAAACAAAGAGGAATCTTTGACATTTCACAGCATGCAATGAGATCGGAGCAAGAAAAAATTGTAATCTACATAAAGATATGTCAAACATTTAGAAGTAAAATGTGCAGCACTTTGATTTAAGTAACTAAAAAAGAAAAGAACAAAGCGATTTTGGGAATACCTGAAGGACGTTCTGGCTTAAGAGGGTGTAATGGGGGCCTCTAATTTCCGTGACGCCATAGCTTCGAGGCTTTTCGGGACGGTCTTCGTTCTCGTCGAAGCACTTCCATCTGTACGCCGCCATCGTCTCCTCTAGAACGCGAGTTCACAGAATCACAGAGAAGAAATTGGAAAAAGGAAGGGAAAGACAGGTCCTTTCTGGGTGTTCCCTTAGCTTTCTGTAGAACTTTCATTTTGGGAACAGTTGATCGAGGAAACCAGTTCTTTCTAGAATAGTTTGTAATCATACAGGAGGCAACTGAAATAAACTGCCACGTGTCAAACTATTGCATTTTCTCTTAGGTCCTTTTTTATTTTAGTTTTTCCTTTTCCTAAAACCACCAAGTCTTCCAATGATTTCACTTAAGTATTGGTTTTCCAAGACTGCAGTCTACAGCTCTTGGACGACACATTTCTTTTCTTTATACAAGCGATATTGAGAGGGGGGACTCAAAACACAAAACCTCACATACAAGCGATATTGAGAGGGGGACTCAAACACATACAAAGATAACCTTGAGCATCACATTTCTAGTTAGAACTCAATATAGCTGTCTACATTTTCTAGTTGCACATTGAGATACTCGGTCTCTTTAAGACTTTAAGACTAGTCAAAAAATAAAACGAGAACTCTTTAGGCAAAGGGACTGATTGAATTGAAGGAATAATTTGAAGCAATGGTGATTCTTGTGAGTTGTCATACACGCAAGGATCAAAGTTAACCATTCCCATTCCCACCTGCAGGTGATTGATACTCTGCTTTCCTTGCTCCCCATGAAAAGAATCCATGTTCAAAAAGAAACGAATAACAAGTTAAAAGAAGAATAAAGAAAAATGTGAAGACAAAAGAAGCTTTTACCCAAGCATCACAGCTAATTTCCCTCCTAATTTGTCAGATAGACAGATAAAATATGCATGCCTCCCCCTCCTTTATAACCTATTCCCCCTTCCTCTACTAAATAAACCCAGCAGAGGCAGCATCTGCCTATAAATCTCACACCCATCCCCTCCTCCTTCAACCAATCCTACAAACATGGTGAAAAACATCACCCCTCTGGTCTGCCTCTCAGTCTTGCTTATGGACGTCGTGGCCGGGATACTTGGCATCCAAGCTGAAATTGCTCAAAACAAGGTACTTTACCATATACATACGATAGTTTTAATTGAAGAAAGGAAATTTAAGTTAATTTGATTGACTATATTGAAATTACTTGGGATGATAACAGGTGAAGCACTTGAAGGTGTGGATCCTTGAGTGTAGAGACCCAAGCTACCAAGCCTTCAAACTGGGGTTGGCTGCGGCTGTGCTTCTAGCAGTTGCCCATATCATTGGCAACTTGCTTGGTGGCTGCATTTGCTTCTGGTCCAGGGAAGATTATACCAAAGCCACAGCAAATAGGCAATTATCTGCTGCTTCCCTCATTTTGTCATGGTACTTATCAACCCTAATTCAAACACCATAAACATGATTAGCCAAGCCCAAATCTAATCAGCGCATGTTTGTTTTGCAGGATCACATTGGCTGTGGGATTCTCACTGCTGATAGCAGGGGCTCTTTCTAATTCAAAATCAAGAAAATCATGCGGATTATCACACCGTCGCATTCTGTCCATCGGAGGCATCTTATGCTTCTTCCATGGACTGTTCATGATAGCATATTACGTCTCAGCCAAGGCCACCATCAGAGACCAAAACAGACCCCAACAAAAACAAAACCCTGCTGGTGCATAAAGTTTCCAATTTTCCCAATTGGGAATTCAAGCGTGTTTAATTGCATCTCACACCCTTTTTGTTTGCACCATTATTTTATCGGTTCGCAACTGTAATTTGAAAATTCAGAGTGGAAATCTAATATCATGTAGTTGGATAAGAAAATAAATAAACGATTGGAACACAATTTGTTTCTTTAAGTAGATCGAATATAAAATTCATAACAACAATCAAACAGATCAGCTAACCTCCCTAAATCACTCTATTTTCCATCGTTCTTTTTTTACAAAAGGGAATTAAGACAAGCTCAAGTTACTATTCTAGTCGTCAGAGGGGCCAGATTTGCCGGTGCCAGTTTTCTTGGGCAAGAGCATGTTGTGGATGTTAGGCATAACGCCGCCGTTAGCGATGGTGACGGAGCCGAGCAGCTTGCTCAGCTCCTCGTCGTTCCTGACGGCCAACTGGATGTGCCTCGGCACAATCCTCGTCTTCTTGTTATCCCGAGCAGCGTTCCCAGCCAATTCCAACACCTACAATTATTAAAATTTAACAAAATCAATTTATATTCACAACAACAAAATTAAAGAGAAAAAATCTCAAATTAAATGAAATTAGGGTTGAGATATTGACCTCAGCAGCGAGATATTCGAGGACGGCGGCGAGGTAGACCGGTGCGCCAGCACCGACTCGTTCGGCGTACTTGCCGGCTTTCAAGAACCGGGCGATACGGCCGACCGGGAATTGCAGACCGGCCTTGCTGCTACGAGATGTGGCCTTCTTGGCGGCACCAGAGCCAATTGATTTTCCTCTTCCGGCCATGGAATCTGAGAGTAGGATACGTGTGAGGAGAAATCTACGTATAGCGGTGTGTTTGAAGTTATAAAAGAAGGTGAAGTGGATCAGGGGTTTCTTAGTTTATATAGGGGAGCATAGCCGCTAGGGAAGAAAGAGAGCCAATCAGAGAGAGTCACGCGGATCGACATCTGTAGCCGGTCGTTTTAAAAAATTTGGACGGTTAGATGATGATGTTTAGAATTGGGGACTTTTCGTGTGCTTCTGCGTTCGTGTGAAGCGGGAAATACAAATTTTGACGAAGCGCTCCCCGAAGTATTTCTTTTGGCTACGACCAGGAATCAAATTTGGATTTACCACGTTTAGAAAGAAAATATCAGAACATTTTGGATTAAAAAAATGTATTTGAATTTTGATGTAAGCTCTTACGAATTAGCGAAATTTCATAAAATAAATGAAAATATAACGCTGAATCATTATCGATAATATCCCGGTATTTGTTTCCAGTTAAATTTATATTGCTTTATAAATTAATTCAAAGAAAAAATATGAAATAAGTGCCAATGATTGTAAAGATGAATTAAACTTTATATCGGCCCAATGCAATGCATGTCCAGTCTCTACAATTTAGTTTTGTCAAGTGAATAGCTTGTATTCCCTTTTTCTTTTTGTTTGGGAAAAATGGGAAATTAAATCAATTCAAATTCCAAAATAAATTATTATAAAATTTACGCAGTGCAAAAAATCACTATCAGGTTGTAGGGTGAAGGCTTGAAGTAAAATGTCGAAATGTCATGGAGACATGATATTAATTTACACAATACGCCATGCTCGTAGAGGTAAAATACAAGATCATTATCATCCCACATCCATATATCAGATCAGCAACAGCAAGCTCACATTGCTGGTACTGGTACAGAACAGAACACACACAAGTTTCAAGTTTCAAGAAGCAACGAACGAGCTAAAATACCTTGGGCAGAAGAAACTTTCATTACAAAGAAACTTATGCCTACCAGCTACCACCTTCGGAAGGAGATCATATAAACTACCCAAATCAAATCACAACTATTCTTGCTAACTGCAGATTACTTAGAGATCATACAACAAACTACCCAACCAAAATCACAACTATGCTTTGAGTCTTCTTATTTGCTCTTTCTCTTGTACACCAAGATTACAGTGACCACAAACACAAAGACAGTTGCAGCTATGCATAACTGAGATAATGTAACTGAGAATTCAAGGACACTCAGCAAGATTACTGCAACATTATATAATCCTGCTTATAATTATCAAAGGCATCAACACCAATAACACAACACAAGTGACAGAAACAAAACGGACTAACATTGCCACATAAAAAACTTTAAATCAACATAATAGAGAAGGACAACACAAGGCAGTAGTACTACACAGAAAGATCTAATGGACAGACACACTAAGCAGCTAAATGCTACAGAGTTCTTAATTAACAATTACTAAAACTTTTAAACATTTAATCCAATGTTCTAATGCTCAGATGACTTTAACGCCTCCAGAATCACCTTTGCCTGATCTCTCATCAACTCACTCCTCTTCACAAAAAGGTCCAATTCAGCAACATGCAGCTTCTTCCACTTCTCCTTCAGCTCAGCTCGCTTGGCTCCTCCAATCAACTCCAAGCCCTGCTTCACAACACCCTCCGGCAACCCCAGCTCTCTGAAACCCTTATCATACCCAATCACCTCACTCAAACTTTCAGAACCAATTTCCACCTTCTCACACTCCTTTGGGGGCTCCGGTGAACTCAAAATCTCAGCTTTAAGTGAAGCCAAAGTCTTGTTGTTACCCTTCTGATTTGTCCTAGCCTTCCCATTAGACTTGGACTGTTCAGACAACCCACCAACCCCAATTGACCCTTCGCCGCTGCCCCATACCTTATTTGACAAGTCGAACACCTTTTGCTCATGAGGCTTAACAGGATTATACTTCTTCCCTTTGGCCACATTCATCTCATACTTCTTCTTCAACCTACGAATCTTATCTTGCAATTGGGTCTTGTTCACATCGGCCTTCAACGATTTCTTGATAAAATCATGAAACGCACCCATATCAGAATATGGGTCCGCGCCTTTCTTCGTAGAGTAATCAATCATGCCTTTCAGGATCGCTATCTCATCATCATCGCTCCAAATCCTCTGGAACAGCTTCTTCGAGTCGTCTCCACCTGCCTTCTTCGTTTCCTCTCCGGCATGGTCTGGCTCCTGATCCGGGTCTGGGATCTTCTTCTTGGGCCTCTTGGAATCCTTGGGGTCGCTCTCGCTTGGCCGCTTCGACCCGGCTCTTGCTGCAGGCGTAGTAGTAGCCGAGGCCTTCGATCTGGGCTTCTTGGTCTTGGGCGTCTCTTCCATTGGCTTCGAAGCTATCGGCTTTACCACCATATCCTTATCCAATTCCGAATCGGATTCGGACTCGGACTCTGAGCCAGAGGATGAAGACTGCGGCTTTGAATTGACAGTAGCCGAGTCCGGTTTCTTCGGTGGTGGTTTCTTCTCAGCAACAGGAGTGGGTGCTGCCTTTGGAGGCTCGGGTTCCTCGGACTCGGATTCGGACCCGGATCCGGATTCTTCCTCTTCTTCTCCGTCTACTTCTTCTTCGGACGAGGCTACCTCTTCTTCCGAAGAAGAAGCAGCCGGAGGCTCATCCAGAGGAGATGGGCGCTTGGGTGCCATTGAAGAGACGATACAGCAGGGTTTGGCGAAATTAGGGTTTCTAACTGGGTATTGGGTTTGTGTGTGCGAAGGAAGGAGTAAAGAGGGTCCTACTTCGAAAGTTGGGCTAGGAATCTTGGATGCCGTCATGTTATAGGGGAAAGGTTAAGGACTTTGGAAAGTAGCAAAACATATCAGGACCGTTGGATTTTAAATTTGTTACTCACTTATATTTAAGTCAAGAATTAAGCTAAAAAAATCTCTCTTAAATAAAAACAGATTTATTAGAAATAACTTGGAAGCTAATCCATAATTCTTCTCATCAGGGTAAACTTCTTATCTCATTCAAATTTTTACTCTCATATATATATACTAGTTTATTGGAAGAACTCACCTCTTATGTGGCATATATTATTAAGCAATAGATACCGAATTTTTGGACGTAATGTGCGGAGAAGGACCAAATCACCTCTTATGTGGCATATATTATTATGTAATAGATTCATACATGATCCAACTCATGTTTAGACGAAGGAGAATTCAAATTTGGGTGCAACGAGAAGCTCTAATCGTGTGTTTACTAATCAGGAATTGGAATTCAAATCAAGAATTGAATTCCAATTATGGAGCATTTCCATGTTTACTTCACATCAAGAAATTAAAAAGTAAGTGGGGTTCACACAAAATTAGGAATTGAATTCTTGATTTCGGATGAATTCACTCTTGGGTGGGAGGTGGTATTTTAATTTCTGGAGAACTAACCTATTAGGAATTCATATTTGTACCCATTATATCCTCACACAAATTTTAAAATTTCAAATTTGTCATCTACTTTAACCCAACAACGAGGACATTTTAGTAATTAGAACCACTCCTACCCCAATTCCATATAATTTAGTAAAAAATCCAATTGTTCATGTGGAGAATTGTCCCGAATGTGGTTCCAACTAGAATGAATTTATTTCGAAAAAAAATTTGTGGCTCTCCTATCTGCTCTTTGTGTGATCAGTTTGAAGAGACGATCGAACACTTGCTTTTTCTCTGCCCTTGGACTCAAGCAGTTTGGTTTTGGTCTCCTTTGTCATTGCGAATTGATCAGCAACGTTTGAGAACTTTTGATGTGTGGTTTAATGAAGTTTTGAGTATGCGATCGGGGTCTAAGCAAGAAAAATTAGATATGCTTACTCTTTTAAGTTTTTTCCTTTGGGAGATTTGGAAAACCAGGTGCAAGGCTGTCATTGAAAGGAGCACCATTGATCCGCCCAAGGTTATTGAGAATGCGCTAAGAGCTCAAATGGAGTTTACTGAAATCCGAAGGGTTCCTAGTGATGAAGTGGTCGTGAACAACATTTTGAATGTCCATCCCGCTTCCTGGAATGCACCTTCAGGTGATTTTGTGAAAATAAATGTGGATGGAGGATGGATTGGTGACACTCTGAAAGGTGGCGTTGGGGTTGTTATTAGAAATACTGGTGGTCAATTTGTTGGGGGTTTAGCTGGTCCTATTTGCTGTGATTCAGCACTAGCTGCGAAAACTCATTCAGCAATTAAAGGGCTTGCTTTGTCTGCTAACCTTGGATTTAGAGATGTCATTGTGGAAACAGACTCAAAATTTCTCATCAATGGGATAAATGGTGACTTTAGAAACAAAGTGTGGTCCATTATGCCCCTTCTTGAGGAGATTCACAGAATATGTGGGTCTATGCATGAGGTTCGATGGAGCTGGGTGCATAGATATTTAAACCGGGCGGCTCATGAGGCAGCCATGATTGGAGTTAGAGCTATGGAGCTAGAAAGCTGGGTCTCACGACCACCATTGTCTCTGGTGCAAGTTCTGGTCTCGGATGGACTCCCATGTCCTCCTTAAGTTTCTTTTTGTTTTGGATTGAAAGTTTTTCTTTGCTGGGTTGTATGGATTCAGTTGAAAGGCTTTCAGTTTTGCTTTCTTTCCTTTTTTGTAAGCTCTTCTGCCTTTTTCCGGCCTTGGAATGAAGTTTCAGTCTTGACCAAAAAAAAAAAACCTCAATAGGAATTCAAAATCTAACTCTCCTCCATACATATAGTTTAGTAAACAACTTCAATAGGAATCTTGAATCTAATGATCCCCAATCCAACTCCTCCTCAATTTTATTTCCCATAATTCATGTCATTATTGTCTTGACCAACTGACATAACCCACATCTACAATAAATCATTGATAATTAAGTTGTGTATATTAAAAAGAGAAGGCTTTGACATTAAATACTAAGTATTGCATAACTTTTATATTTAAATACTAGCTTTGTTAGTTTAGGTACCAACATAATGGTACTAAAGTTCTATCGTATTAGTTACATGATTTTGCCACTCAAGCATTGACCAAATTTTTGGGTGAAATTCTCCGGACATACTCCACTAGCAACCACCTCTAACGCCCAACCCGAGCAACATTTTCGACAGGCTGCTAGCTCCCTAGTGGCGGCCTAATTTGTATTGGAAAAAACAAATGAACTAACATTGTTGAAATTTGAACCTTTGACCTTAAAGTTTACATTCACAAAACTCAACCATTGCACTAAGCTTCAAGCTGTGATTTAGAGGACTCTAGGCAGCCGTCGACGTTTTCTTAGCTTGATTTTATTCTTATGTTTTGGTTTTGAAACTCACTTGCGCATAAACAAACTAGCACTACATTTAGTTGCAATAACAGTTTCATTTTATTGTTAAAATATGAGAAAAAATTACACAAATATAAAGAACATCATGCATTGCATAATAGTCACTATTTGTTTGGCTTAATAATTTTTACTTCATTTTCTCTTAGTTTTTGCTTTTGGGATCACAAATCCGCCTACAAGCACACACAAACGAAACCAGAATAGTAGTGAAAATCAGTGTTTTTAAACAGTGGCGAAGCCACTCCTAGGCATGAGTGGCCCTGCCCCCCCTATATTTTTGTCTCTCCTCTATTATATTATATATAACATATATAATTTGTAATAAACAACTTATAATTGAAGTTATAGTTCCCTCTAAAACAAATTAGACATGACTAAATTATAAATATTTAGCTTTAAATATGTAATTATTGAATATTTAGGTGCTTTATATACTTGTATTTTCTACTTCGGCCCCTCTAACTTTACAATTCTAACTCCGTCCCCGTTTTCAAAGGCATGCATAGGCACGCGTCGAAGTGCGTGTCAGAGCAAGGCAAGAGCAAATTGCCTCAGGTGTTGCCTTGTTTAGCTGTTTGCACGCTTAGGCATAAGAAGGCGTGCGCTCTGCAGTGTGAGGCGGAGCTGTGCGAGGAAGAAGATGACTTGTTGAACCCTATGTTTTTTTCCATGAGACGATGTCGTTTTAGGTGTGGGGGGTCACCTTAGGGTTTTAATGAACCTGTGCGTTTTGGGTGTTGTGTTCAAACTTCGTTATTTGTTATTTTTTTGCAAAAGTTATTGTTTGGTTTAACAAATCAATCTCTCTCTCCTACCCAATACAATCAAATCAAACAAACTTAAACCCCAAATTCATTCTCCTCAACTGCATATCTATTAAGCTCTAACCCTCCTTTCAATTTATGAACCAGCCTCCCTCTCAATTGTATGACCAATTGAGTTTTAAGTTTGACTATTATAATTAGTACTTATATTTTGTTATATTTGATTGATTATTAAGCTTCAATGACAATTAGTGGTTTAGTTTAATTATATTGTATTATTTATAATTTTTTCTTATTATTATAAAAATAATTATGTCTCAAAAGGCTTATGCCTCGCCTTGTAGGACCAAAAACACATTGCCTCTACGCCTCGCTTTTCAAAACATTGGTGAAATATACAAGTATATAACAAGGCTAGTGGCAATATTCATGAATGTGAGTGAAGATAATGATTTTCTCCAAATAGCATCCACATAATTTCGTCTCATAAACTGTCAAATAAAGCTTACAGCCTTACATAAAAATACATTAATCCCTTTTTAGCCAAGCTTTGCAATAACATCATTCAGGGAAGATACAGTCGCCGCATAGTATTTCTCTGCTTCTGGGGTGCTCTTGATCTTTGCTGCATGGTCCAACTGTCCCCAAACACAAACACAAACACCAAAAACAAGAAAATTATATGAATTGAAGGTACATTATTGTCTACGGCATGTCATCAACATGTTAATTACTTGGTGACAGAAAGTTCAAGTATATATGGACTTACATTGTCAAGGTCCTTGAAGAGCTTTCCAGTGAGTTCCTTGAGTGGCTCCTTCTCTGTTTTGGATTTGGCAGAAATCACAGTCTTGAGGTCATATCGGAGATACGAGGCCTTGAGACGAAGATCGTTCTGGACATAAGGCCAAGCCTTCTTGTCTATGTACTCCTTCACAGCAACAATTTCCTTGGCTGACTCCTTTGCCCTCTGTGCAGCCTGAGCTGGGGTCAAGGGTTGGATGTAGAACCTCTCTTTCAATGGCAGGTCAAAGTCTCTTGCCTCATCCGAATTTAGAGTTCCAGCTGCCATAACACCAAATTCACCTCCATAAGTTCTTGAACAAACCCAATAAACAATTCCATGCATTCCACATTCTTAATTTTTTGTTGGTCAAATTAAATTGATGTGTAATGTACTTGCATCCCAATCCAATGAATAGTTCAAATTATAAACTGAAATTTGTACCTTGCTAAGACTAAAAACGAGTGACAAGGACAAGGAAGGGCTTACGTAATCCGCCGGAAGGGGGTGGAGGTGGACCAACTTTGATGGGCTTAGCCTCTGCAAGCACAGCTTGGACAAAAGAACCAGAGGCCAAACCAGAGGCCACAAGACCAAGCATGGCTCTACGGCTAGTTTCAGGCTCTGCTGGCGCTTGCTGGGCTCTAATGGCGAACCCGGACTTGGTCACAGCTAGCCTGTTGGTGCTGCTGGCTATGTTCAAGCGTGATGAGCCACTTAGATGAAGGCTACCTTCCAACACAGCCTGGGATGAACCATGTAGGCCAGACATTGAAGCCATAGCTTGTGCCATTTCTCCTTAAGCTCCTTGCCTTACCTTTCTTTCTGGGTTTTGTTTCTTCTTAACAATGATCAGTTTCCAAGTGATGATAAAACAGAGGCAGAAATGTGGAAATTATATTTCTGGGTGCATGTGATTGGTGGTGGATTTGTTCTATGCTTATGTGATGTAGAGTGATTTTGGGCAAGAACCTTATCTGACATTTTCCGGTTGGATAAGTTGGATATGGATTTAACCAATTGGAGGTTGACAAGTGTCCCTCATTGCATTTTCTATTTGACAAGCTGGATAATGATCCAACACGGACTCTGTCATTTTGACACGTGGACTCCATGAGATTATGACAATGATGTTAATACAATCCATCTAAAGTTTTTATTTTATTTTTACAAAATTAAAAGGAACATTGTCTTTTTCCAAATCAATTATGAATAGATGGAAATTTTATTAAGAAGAATAGAGAGACCTTGGTTCAATGAATGAGAGAGACATCTCATCCATCCAAATACTAGCATAATTTTTATGAGTCATTTCCAACTGTTCGACATATTTGGAAGAATCAAAATCCATTTTCACAGAAACCACAAACTCACAAGCAATTTTTACAAAGTATTTGAAGTTCAAATTTATCTGTCGAAATTTCAAATCATGTATAGCAAATATGCGATATTCCTGATTTGGCCTAGTGACTTGTGATCAAATTTAAAGTGTAGTCAAACCAAAAATGAAATTTCAAAACTCATTCAATGACACAAATCTAGGTTATAAGTCGGGATTATGATTCCCTCGTTCTGTCATAAAAATATAAAAAGGAAAAACAATTAATGAAAATGTTCAACCTCACTTTGGTTTTCAAATAACTCTATTTATTTGCAACCTTGAAATCTTGGTTCTCCTCGTGATTAGCCTTCAAATTTGACTATTTCTCTTTTATGCAAGAGCATCCTCAACAATCTTGAATTACGACACACGGGAGGTGAAAAATAGGTACTCGATACTTTCTATTATTTGATAAATGATTGAATTTCATTTTGTTTGCCTTTTGTGATAGTCTGCCTTTGTTATTTTTTATTTTATAAATTCAAAATATGATAGTGTTTACGATTACATGGCCATTATTCGGTCCGAAAAAGAAAATAAAGTAGGGTTGGTTTAGACATGGTTGTGTAAGAGAATTTTTTTTTTTTTTTTTGGGTGTGTGTAAGAGAAATTGAGTAATTACTAATTAGGTCTTTTTATGGAAAAAAAATCATCTAAGGTGTAAGAAAAGTGTGGGTAAGTGGTGAGATTCAACAGAACAAAACCCATAATAAAATAATTAACTTGGGCCCTTGGACTTGGCTGGTGGTCGTCCATAAAAACCCGTTCGGCCCAAATAAAGACTAACGTCTTTTTTGAAGAGCGTGTTAGTTTGTACCGCCAGATCCAATTTCAAAATTTTCAGTCGCTCTCTCTCTCTCTTACCTTTCTCTCAGACACACTTTTTTGAACTCTCGAGCCCTAACTTCCCCCCAAGTCCCAAATCGATTTCACTCAAAATCCAGTCTTAACAATCCAAGGTCTGAACGTCACACCGCTATCTCCGACCGTCGGCTCTATCAGATCGCCGGCTGAGAACGGGACCTGATTAATGGCTTCTCGCAACCAGAATAGGGCTCCTCGGAGTCCTTTTACTGTAAGCTCTAATTTACCTGTGTATTTCATAGCAATGATCTTTTCCTTCTGGGTATGTTTGGTTTTTAAGAAAATGAAAGAAATAAAGTTCTATATCTTAGATTTTGTTTGCTTACTTGGGTAGCTGACGATTTTGTTGTTTGGGCGCTGAAGCAATGGTAAAAGAAAGAAATGAAATTGGGGTTTTGTTTACTTAGTTCTTTTTATGATCTTATTGATCCCCTTCGAGTAGAATTGTATGCTGCAATGTTCCAAATGGTGAATTTTATGGATCAAACACCTTTTTATGGTTATTTAGTTCATTTCGGTGACACAATGACTGGCATCTTTATGTACAATAGCCTTGAAGAAAGAAGTTAATTTTGGTTTTTTGTTTGTGTAGAAAAAGAGTAGTGCTGATGAAGTTCCCGTAGACAAGCGCAGGAGGATTGAAACAAGAAAAACAGACGCACAAGGTAGCATGGGTCGCCCACGACCGCCACTTTCTGTTAGACAAGAGGCAGCACCTACCAGTGACATAGGCAGCACAGAGGGTTCAGAATGTGCCAGTGTTGAGTTCACGAAGGAAGAAGTTGAGGCATTGTTGAATGAGAAGCTAAAAGTGAAGAAGTTTGATCATAAGGTCTATTTCTTACCCAACTGTTGGCTGGTATATTTTAATAGGTTCCTACTTATTTTGAACTATGAATTGTTTTTTCTATAACGTTTTCTATTTCATTATGTGCCAGGGGAAAGCGGACCAGTTAGCTGATTATACTAAGAGGCTTAAGCTTTGCATCAAATGGTTCCAGCAGGTTGAGGAAGGCCATATTCTTGAGGAAGAAAAGCTTCGGAATGCATTGAGTTGTGCTGAACAAAAGTGCACGAATACTGGTAATTTTGTATTCTTATCCGTGAAACTATCCTGCTTTGTAGATAATATTATGGTCACATGAGAAACTATGTGGGTTCTAATGTGATTGATAAAAATTTAAGGCTAATTGTAAAAAGGAACAGATTTGTAAAATATGTGTTGATTTTTATTCTTAAGAGGTGGAGATGAAAAACAAGGTAGATGAGCTCAATGCCGCAAGTTCAAAGCTGAGGGAAGACATAGCTACTTTAGAAAAGAAAGTTGCAAAGGAAGAATCAGAGAAGTTGGTAAGTTTTCCAATCATGGCATTGTACACTAATTTTGTGATATAATTATATGTCCTGCTAATATCTTCAACTTTTTATCCTTCTATTCGTATTTTGTATTTTTAATTCTTTTGTTTGGCATGCAGGATGCAATTACTAGTCACAGAAGAGAAAAGGAAGCAAGGGATGCTGCGGAGAAGTTGCAAGCTTCTCTCTCAGTGGAGCTTGAAAAAGTCCGGGAGGAGAAATTAGTTGCTGAGCAAAGAGTAATATAAGCATATGATTTTGATAACTAATTCCCGTCTGGTTTTTCAAAATCTGCATTATGCATATGCCTAAAGTTGTTAAGCTCTGCAGGTTGCTTCATCTGAGGATTTGTATAATCGAGCACAAGAGTACAACAAGAGTCTACAGCAGTACAATAGCAAACTCCAATCTGATCTTGAAACAACCACCGAATCTCTCAAACGAGTTGAAGATGAGAAAAGAACTGTTGTGGAGACCCTAAGCAATTCTAGGGGACACAATAAGGCATTGCAAGATCAGTTGACTTCACTTAAAGTAAGTATCTGTGCAGCATTCGTTTGCGGAGCATATTTACTTCTTTGTTTCATCTGAAGAATTTGACTGGTTTCCCAATTCTTGAAAGTTATTGACTTTTTTTGTTTATTGAAAGCTAGTATCTGCCTAATTCAAACTCATTGTGGTAATGAGCATTGTATATTGAAATTCTTGGTCAACTTAGAGGCAGTTTGCTTGGGATATGACCCATTTTATTCAATTGTAATCCCGTACTATAGCACATGCCCTTACTGAGTAACACACATCATTTGCACGTAGGCTTCACTTGATGATGCACTGAAGCAAAAGGAATCATTAGTAAATGAGCTCAAATGCCTTCGAGGGGAGCTGCAACAAGTTAGAGATGACCGTGTTCGCCATGTACGAGAGATTCAAGATTTGAAGGATGAGGTGGTGAAGTATAAGGAATACACTGGGAAGTCATGTGCAGAATTAGATACCTTGACAAGAAAATCAAAAGCCGTAGAGGTTTGTATCAGATACTATTCTCATGATTTCATACTGTGTCAGCTTTCCAATATTGCAGGCATGTTTTTGCAGGAGAGATGTTCATCTCAAAGGATGCAGATTGATACATTGAAGCACGAGTTAGAAGCCGCAAATGAGAAACTTAAGGTAATATTAATGCTGTAGGGGTTTTAAAAATGTTGCTATATCTGTCTACTCATAATTTCATAACATCTATTATTTACTTTCTTCTAGATGGCCGATCTATCTGCTTCAGAAACAAGGACAGAATTTGAAGAGAATAAGAGAATTGTGAGGGAGCTACAAGATCGCCTGGCCGAAGCAGAGCTTCAAATTCTGGAAGGAGAGAATTTAAGGAAGAAGCTGCACAATACTATTCTGGTAGTTTTTTTGTTCTTATATATATATATTCTTTTTATGCTTACTCTGTTTCAAGGGTACTAATATTCTTCTATAATAGGAATTAAAAGGTAACATTAGGGTGTTCTGCCGGGTGCGTCCATTGCTACCGGATGATGGCAATACAACAGAAGCCCCAGTAATTTCTTATCCTACATCAACTGAAACTCTTGGCAGAGGCATTGACTTGGTACAAAGTGGTATGGATATGTGTGCTTTTATGTCTTCAATCAAATGCTGTTAAAAATCTTCTAGAAATTTCACTTTTGTTACTTAGTTGTTTTTTTATCTAATTATACTTTAACTATTTGCAGGGCAAAAATATCCTTTTACATTTGATAAGGTGTTTCATCATGAGACTTCACAACAAGATGTTTTTGTTGAAATATCGCAGCTTGTGCAGAGTGCACTTGACGGCTATAAGGTACGTGTTGCGTCTACATATTGTTTTATGTCCTTTTAAAGAAATTACAGGTGCATTAGGATATGTTATGTACAAATTTTTTTAAAGAACTAAAATTTAAATGCATTATTGGATTATGTCTTTGGAATTTTAAGACCATTATAGTACTGCTTATACCCTCTTTGGTGAATTCTTTTCACATTTTATACATGCAGAGGCATGCACTAAAACGAGTATTGGCCGTCTTTTTGTAGGTCTGCATATTTGCGTATGGTCAAACAGGTTCTGGCAAGACCTATACCATGATGGGTAGGCCAGATGCTCCAGACCAAAAAGGATTAATACCTCGTTCATTAGAGCAGATATTTCAAGCGAGCCAATCTCTTCAAGCCCAGGGATGGAAATACAGAATGCAGGTACTATAACTTGTTTTTCATTAGTCTACATTTGCAAATTATAACATTTCCTTCTAAACATATGCAGGCCTCAATGCTCGAGATATACAACGAGAACATTCGCGATTTATTATGCACAAGTCGATCAAGTGGTGCAGACTTGTCGAGGACAGAAAATGGTGTCTGTGGAAAGCAGTATACAATAAAGCATGATGCAAATGGAAACACGCATGTTTCTGACCTCACGATTGTTGATGTTTGCAGTATAAAGGAAATTTCATCTCTTCTACAACAAGCTGGAAATAGCAGGTATACTTCAAAATTTTCTGAATTGATCTTGTGATGTTTCATAACTATGTGTTGCGTGTCCTTTTCACTGAAGATAGCATATTGCTATCAAACTTTTAATATTGCCTGCTAAGAAGTTCATTGAGTTTTTGCTGCTATTATATATGATGTGTTAGGTCTGTGGGCAAGACTCAGATGAATGAGCAATCTTCAAGAAGCCATTTCGTGTTTACATTGCGTATATCCGGCATGAATGAGGTTTGTATTCCTTGTGGCTGCTGTGATGATTGCGCTCTAAGAAATCTTTCATTCTGGTTTGCTCGTTCTATGTGTATCTGCTGATATGCTTTCTTGCCTTACTAGAATACCGAACAACAAGTTCAGGGGGTCTTAAACCTTATTGATCTTGCTGGAAGTGAGAGACTATCAAGGAGTGGCGCGACTGGGGAACGTTTGAAGGAAACTCAGGTCTTTCTTCTTGGAAATTCCCAATCTTCTCCCTATAGATGTAACTATATGTGAAGACATATTTGAATGTGTTAGCTAACACGTTTGTGAATAACAATCAGGCCATTAACAAAAGCTTGTCATCTTTGAGTGATGTCATATTTTCTTTGGCGAAAAAGGAAGACCATGTTCCTTTTAGGAACTCAAAGCTCACCTATCTTCTTCAGGTATAGTAATTTATGTGTTGGTTGCATGGCAGTTGTGATATTTCTAAGCAGGACCTAAAATACCATCTTTGCTTTCGTTCTTCATGGTATAAACAGCCATGTTTGGGAGGGGATTCGAAGACGTTGATGGTCGTCAACATCTCCCCAGACGCTTCTTCAGTCGGCGAATCTCTCTGCTCTCTTCGATTTGCTGCTAGAGTCAATGCCTGCGAAATTGGGATCCCTCGGAGGCAGACAACAACCACACGGCCGCCTTCAGATTCTCGCTTAAGTTATGGCTGATATTGTTTGTATCTTTGTTTTACTGTGTGACTGCATTTGTTCGTAGCAGAAGCACGTTGTTGTTTGTAACGAGAAAAAAAGGTTGGGTTGTGTATAATGGAGTCAGATTGGCTCTCTATCAATTTGTTTGCAGATCTTCTGCTTGAGGCCTACTTACTAATTTGTACTTCTCTTTGAGATCTCTCATCTTTTTTTTTTTTTTGGTTTGTTTGTATGCTTATGAGTTATGACAATAAATATTTTGTGCTATATGGAAAATGTTCATCCCTTGAGGAATGCGGGGATTGTCAAACTTTTGACTTATCGTTATCAGAAGCCAAATAATCTGGTGCTATTTTATTTCAGTGAAAGGATATATACCCAAGTAACGAAACAGGACATTAGAAAAATCAGTGGACGTTTTTGTCGCAATTGCAAAAACAGGCTGTCTCACTTGCAAAAACAGGACATCAAAAAATGGTAAAGGAAAAACATAGTCCGGATTATAAAACGGAAGTGGGCCCAACTCTAACATTCATACCTATCCTAAATATATATTGTTGTTTTTTCTTGTAGTTTTGGTCAAATATCTTCCAAATCTCATCTCATCTAGCAGCATCTAAACTATAGAGTCGTAGACAGGGCTATAGGTTGTCAATACACTCAAATAATAAAACGCCAGCCAGGCAGTCAGCAAGTGAAGAAACAGAGGAAGGAAAACAGAGATGGATAGTCAAGTACAGGAAGCGCAGCCCATAAAATCCAGAGTCATGAAGGTTGATTCTGTGGAGACTTGGGACTTGTATGTAACCCAAGCCACCAACCAAGGCTGCCCTGTAAGTCTCCTCAGGCATCTCAATTGAACACAGTTCCATGTTCTTATGACTTTGTTGTTGAATTTTTAGTTTTTGGTTTAATTTGTGAGTTTGTTTGTCGTGTTTTTATTTTTTGGTCTACTTGGGTTGGAATTGGATATGTCGTAGATTGTTGCACACTTTACTGCTTCATGGTGCATGCCTTCGGTGGCTATGAACCCATTCTTTGAGGAATTGGCCTCAAGCTATTCGGATGTTCTGTTTCTCGCGGTTGATGTGGATGAGGTTAAGGTAATTAACTTAGCCTAATTCCTTGACACAAAAGTTTGTCTAATTTTTGTATATATTTCCTAGAATCTTCTTTGTGTTTGAAATTGACCATCTTCCACTGACCAATTGTCAATTATGAAAGTGTTTTTGACTACATCAGCATATATATATATATCTCTATCTTTTTCTGGTACTTGAGCCTTGCTCAAGACTTAGCTGCTAGGTAACATAGTCATCTGATATTGCTTATCTTCTTTGCTTATGCTTTTTGGGATAGTGCTTTTCATAAGACTTTGCTGTCTGGTATTCATAATCATTTGACGATTAAAGATAGGGACTAAAAACTCTTGAAAGGTTTGATGCTGTTTATGATGGTGATATGGATATAAATATCTCTCCTTTTTTTTGTTTTCTTAGAAGGTAGCGACTCGACTGGAGATAAAGGCTATGCCAACTTTTTTGCTGATGAGGGAAGGTGCACTGGTCGACAAGCTTGTGGGTGCCAATCCTGAAGAGATAAGGAAATGGATCGACGGTTTTGTTCAGTCCATACGTGTTTCTGTTGCGTAGCAGCAGTGTGTGATATCACACGGTTTCAAGTTTGAACATGTAAAATAAGTGGTTGTGATGGGTTCTAGCACAGATATGTGGATGATAAGTTTTTCTTTGGTTTGCTGTATGGATGTTGAACTTTGTAAATGTAACATTTTCTGCTTGTAATTCTTTCTGTTCTCAAATGTCATCTTACATGGTGCACCTTTGCTTGTGATTTTTAATAAAAATTCTGACCCCCAAAAGATATCATCTCACCAATGGCTTTCATGCGTTGGCCCAAATTGTTGATAATTTTGATTCTCTTTTCCTCTGGGTTCATCGGGCCTTATAATGAAAATACAGAGAGGTTCTCTGTTTGTGTAAAAGCCCAGTTTTTTTAAATTTTAATACAAGCTATAGTCTTAATTAGAGGAAATGGAGATTTATCACAAACATATATAAGGTCCTCACTGTAGAATTCTTATTTGACATTCTATAGTGAGGGCCTTATATATTGCCCTTAGATGAGGTTTTATCTCTTAACTGTTGGATCAAACTATCCAATTTGATCAGATAACTAAGAGATACGGCCTTACCTAAGAACTACATATAAAACCCTCAATATATAATTCTTGTTCGAACATAAAACCTCTGATCTGCAAGTAGAGACCATTTCTCATTTCTCATTGGACTAAACCGTTGACAAAAGCCCAAAGACCAAGTGACCTGAGAAATAAAGAAGGAAAATAAAAGTGGCGAAAATTGAAAAGGAGACTTTTATAGTGGCACGTTTTGTGGTGGCTGCGTGTGCATTGTGGCGAGAATTTGGAGACCCGCCAGCGCCTTTCTTTTGTACGCTTTCCATAAATCACAATATCTTACCTTTTCTTTCACTTCCATATACGCAATAATAATCCGAACCACCGAAACCCTTCAACCAAAATTGGCTCAAAATTGTTCTTCATAACAATCATAATTGTTTAAAATTTCCATCACGATTCTCAAGCTCCAACCCACGACGGCGGGCTCTGTCACTGCAAAGGGTCACCGCCGGAACTTCAGAATTTCCGGCAACCGATAAAACATGGGTTCGCCGCCGCAAAATCACAACTGGGTCTTCGATTATGGAGTTATAGAAGATATTCCTGTACCTGGCGGTGACTTACCACCCCTTGACCTGCCCGGTTTCACTTGGCCGTCTAATTCATTTGTCACTCCGGCCGCTCCCAGGTACCGCAACCCATTCACTTTCTTCAACCAAGTTCATCATTTTGCTGCAATTGGGTTTTCCTAGCTGTTGAATGTGAATTGGGTGTCTGTTTTTTTGGAGGGTAACTGTTGTTTTTATTAGTACTTTATTCGAAGTCTCAATTTCAAATTTGTTTTCGTTATTTATTAATTCTGGATGTTTTTCTTTGACGAATGAGGTAATATAATAATATTGCTGGCCTGAAGTATAATTATTTTCTAGCCTATATGAAATACAGCGAAAAGTTGGATGCTTTATGATAATCATGAACTCTTAGTCGGCTAAGCAAGCATTTCATGTGCAGGATACATGCTCAGAGAGTCTTCTGAATATAATATTGTTATTAGCAGCTTAGTTGTATTAAAATGATGAAAAGTGGAACTGTGGCTGTTCTCTAATTTAACATGATGTCGCCAAGTTCATTAAAATGCTGGCCGCTTTGGTTATAGACTTGAGCATATGCTATGTTCATTTAAGGTGAATTTACTAAAAAGTGATTATATTAAGTTTAAATCCTCGAGGATGTTCAAGGTTGGCTAATTATTCGTAATTGGTTTTATCATCACCTTCATTGAGTCTGTAGCTATGAGGATGCCATTTTTGCAGGGTTTATGATGTCCTCCTGTTCACAAATGCAGTTCATTGAGTTCATTTTTTTGTTTGCGCAAATTCAAGTATGGCATTTTTGTTTACATGTGTGTGTTTTAAGCAGTCTGTTATGTTAAATCTTTAATGGGTTATGAGGATATTTGGTAAAAAGAGTATTTTGGAATGCAAGTAAGATGCTGCTGGTATAAGGGAACTAACTAAAACTTATCTGCATTTTTCTCTTTCTCGGAGTACTAAATGATCCTTTTTTCATTTTTTTCCCATTCTGCTTAATTAACAACCTGGCTATACTATGTTGACGAAGATCAACTTTTCTTTGTTCTAACGACAAACTCATTTGTTTGCTGCTATTTTCTCAGCGTGGACTTTGATGACTCATTTCGAAATTCAGACAGTATCAAGGAAAGTGGGTTTCGAAAACGGTATATCTACTGAGTCTTATTCTTCTTAACTTGTTAAACAGGAAATGGTGTATTACTACCTATTTTCTGTTTCCAGGTTCTTGAATTTGTTTATTGAATTAATGCTTTAGCATGGATGGATTTTTTATTTACTGTGAATTTGGTCAGATCATCAATACTTATGCTATATTATCTCCTTCTGTTTCAGCATGATTCATTTGGGTTTATTGTTTCCATTATAGGGTGAGGTCTGGATCATGCAATGTGACTGGTTCTAAAGCATGCAGAGAGAAAATGCGGAGGGATAGACTGAACGACAGGCATGCTCTAGTTCCCTAATACTCAATGATATTCGCTCCCCCTTTCCCACTCCTCCCCCCCG